GCTGTCTAGAAAACGATATGAGCTGGAGTCCAACAACATCTGGAGGACCACAAGTTCCCCATCCCTGGTCAAGGGAATGAAGCAATTCATTCCTGCCTCTTTACCCTGTTGGCTGCAGAGACACACATTATTGTGTCCATGACATAGTTGGCAAAACTAATCAATGTAATCATTTTAAGACTAGAGAAAGCAAGGGTGGGGAGGAGCTTTTCTTGCTCTTGAACACATACCCTGGGAATTGGTATCTCCTGACAGTATTTAGGGCAGCTTGCTCATAATGAGTTTCTCTATCTCTACTAGCAAATAATGTTGCCATGGAGCATGTCATGTACAAGGAAATTCACTGTGCTATGGTAGCTCCCATATATGTAGTGATTTGTGCCAAACAATATAGCTATGTATGTGTTTGAAATGAAACACAAGGAAGCTAATCTCTATGTGTATGTGGTTGGTATACTCAAGACTACTTACAGCTGATCTATATATAGATCAGCTCTTAAGTAATTTTGAGTATACCTGGTCCATCAGATGACATTGCTTCGGCAGATAAATCCTCAGAGATGGTCTTATTAATTTGTTTGTCAAGGGTTGACTGGATGGATACCTACTCTCTTCAGTATTACAGAACAAGCAGCCAGTGGCTCACAGGAATCGTTCTGTTAGACTGTAATAGGTCAGGCATTCTTGCAGATGGTGACTCCTTTAATGGACAAACCCCAACATTCGTTTTTGATTAGAACAATGCTTTACGGAGGACACTAGCTTAGCAGTGGTTTGTCTCAGCATATCCAGAGGAGATTATTGAGATCTGATTCCATATCAGTAGGGTCCTACTAATGATGATTTTGCACTTGATTCAATGGACATGGATGAACTTGCTACTCAGTGTCAGGGCTTTATTCTGAACCTGACATTTGAGTAGGTGCTGATTCTTGGTCCCTTTTGGGGTGGGTGGGTGGGTGGTGGAGGAAAGGAATAATGCTGCTTGCTGCAAAAAGATAAATGGATTGCATGGGCTGAGTTGGTAAAAAATAATGACTGGAGGTGTTGAGAGAAGCAGATATTTGAAGGACACAGGCTCAAACATTGCAGTTCCGATTCACCTGACCACAGGAAGGATGGCTAGAAATATGGTTTAAAAATGCGAGGGGGAAAAAGTTGAGCGTTTGTTTATTTCAACCCAACAGCTGTTCCCATGTAGTCTTTAGAAACAATATGGCACAAGCACTTCTGTATTTTAATGTCTCCCTGGCTTACTGGGTGGGCTGATGCCTTTAAGCAGGAGGGTCCTTCCACACTGCTATTATTTGGGTTCCATGATTTGCTGGAAGTCTGTCTGGAGAACTGGCAGGAAGCCCTGAGCATGGAGGCACTGATGGAGAGGGCTGCACATAGTCTGCAAGGAGTTCATTAGAGCAGATGTTAGTGCCATAAAGCCACAGGTTCCTGCTGTTTCTTATTCACTTACATCCTTTAGGCTTTAGCAATGCTAATGTTAGTGAAAACATTTGCTGAAGTGGAGACATAAATCACGGTCCTCTTTCCCTCTTGTCTCCCCCCCTCCCCCACATGCCTTGTCTGCCTTCTCTTATCTATCTTTCACTTTGTTTGCCTATTTTCTTCACTCCCATAGAACAGCACTTGGGAATCACTGGCAACCCAGCACATTCCTCTTCCCCCCCCCCAAACCTCCTTGAAACAAAAGAGACTTCATTAGCATCTTTTTAGCACTGTGGATTTAATTCAGTGAGGATCAGCAAACACTAGTTTGTTACACTCTGCAAGGCTTTTTCTGCCTCTTGACACTCACTGCCCCATCTTCCCAAGCAGACTCCTTTGCACCACACAGAATTGCACGCTTGCAGACTTCTGTTCCCTCTAAGATCTGGTGGTGCAATCCTTGTAACTTTGGAGTAGTGTGGGATGATGATGATGATGATGATGATGATGCGCTGCCTGGTGATTTTTTTTAAAGTAGCGAATTACTATTTCATCCTGGTATTAAAGGATGCTGGGCTAGATTAGTGGTGCTCCAGGCAACTGCAAAAATTGTTGCAGAACCATTCCTGCTCTCTATTCCTGCTAGCTCTCCTGGTATGGAAATAACTACCATTTTATCTTTCACCACTTGATTTGATGCCAATCTTGCTTTCAAGAAATGTAAATCCAAAGGGAGTGGGGCGCTTACATAAACAAGTTGTAAAATGTTAGTGTGAAAAGATAGTCTTGCCACCACCCCCTCCCTACATATGACCACACCTCTTTATAATCTGCCCCTCCTCACTAATTATTTAGTGTTAACAGTATGTTATGCTCTGATCTTCAATTATAAGATTACCTTGTATCATTCTCTACCGCATAATCTAAAAGGCAAAAGCACACACACATAAAACAGGCAGCATAAAACTGTTAAGGCCAAGTTTTTATTAGGCTGGTTTTGTGTGTGATTCTGTGTGCAGGAGTATGCAAGCTTTCTAGTTCAACAGAACTCTTCATTAAACAAAGGGCCATTGAGGAACACAGCAGCACGGATGCTGCAACCGCCAACAGAAGTTAGCCCATTCAAAGATGCCACTTTCTCTGTTTCACATATCTCATTCGCTTTGACCATTATGGCAATAACTGTTTTATTACACACAAACATAAACAAAAAATAATGAACTTGTATAGCCCCAGGGGATGGCAGCTTCTTTTTAGGTTGAGGGTTGCACTTTGAAAGTGGCATTTTTTTTCAGAAATGAAGTATTGGTATTGAGCGAGCAGGAGTCTCTCTCTCTCTCTCTCTCTCTCTCTCTCTCTCTCTCTCTCTCTCTCCTTCTCCCCTACCCTCCTTGCTAGACCTTGATTTCTGTTCACTCTGCCAGTTTAAGGCCGAGCTATCGCATTGATTTGATTGCTAATGAAAACCTGTGTATTGTGTCCCCAAAAAAGGTTGTTTCCCCCAAAGGCTTTTCTAGGTTCCACCGTGATTAAACTGACACCCCTCCGCTGGCTGCCTCGCAAGGGAGAACACACACACACACACACACACACACACACGAGTTTCTGCAAAAAGAGGAAACAGGAAATTCCCACCACAACCATAAAATAAAAGCACAAGAGGAGAATATGCAGCAGTAAAGGAAGGTGGATGGAATGGGACCAAAGGTCCCCTTTGCAGTTTTGGCTTTTAAAATTCAGTATCATTATAAAGTTTTCCAAGCAGTTCCCCACCCTTTGTGATTCTCGCTGACTTCTGTAAATTCCCTCACCTGCAATGAACTCCATGAGGCCTTGTGTTTTTTACTTTGCTCTGTAGAAATTTAGGGTTTGGTATAAGAGGGGCTCTCCTATTCATAATATGGGAAGATAAGCTTTTCAAGCGCTGTTCCCTGCTTATGATGCTGCCTTTATTGTATCCCCTCACCTGCTACTGGACCTCCTATGCTTTGTAACAGCTGTTTGAATGGCAGAGGTTCAGCAGATGCAGGCTTTTAAGGGCACTGAGGTGCAGAAATCGAGAAATCAACATGCCAAAGGCACCAGAGGCCAACTAGCCAAAGTTGCAGCCCTAGCTTTCACCTGCATATCTCACCTGCAGTATTTTCGTATGAATAATGTAATTTGCATTGACATGGCCGGAACTAGGCTTCTGCTGACTGGTGGCTTGTCTGGTCTTTAACCGAACTTGAGGGGGAAAAGAGAAAATTTAGATATTTAAAAAAGGTAAGGCAAAATACATTAATTTGGAGATTTCCCCTCTAGTATTTCTCCCCCACCTTTCTCTTCGCTTTTTGGGATTAAAGATGCTCACAACCATCAAAGATGCCTTAGGGATAAAACATATCCATGGACCATAACTTGGAGGGGAAGGAAATGAAGTGACCTTATATTTTAGCCTCTGGAATACACAGAACTGCCAGGGATGCTGCTTACCTGAGATGATAAAATATAATTTGACAGTACCCATCATCGCTTTGGGTGCAGGGAGTTTGGGCTTTGTAGGACTCGCTGTTTTCCCAACTGGTTCTGGCAAGTCTGGGCACAAAGCACACTTCCATTTGACCCAGGGACTGCTGCCAACCTCTGGTGCTGCTGGAACATCCGGGTTCCCATTGGCACTGCTCCTGTCTCTGCGACTCTTGCAGGACTTGGCTAACCCAGCCACGGGGGAAGCTTGCTTGGCTGTGATATAGGTCACGGTAGCAGCCGACACACAAGTCTCCCACCTCTTCTTCCCCAGCCATATGTTGCAGCTCCTTCCCTTCCATTTGGGGATTCCGGGCATGCGTGGGCACGGGCGCTGGGCAGAGACCTGCCGCTGAAGAGAACTAGCGCACTAGCACTTAATGCTATGGCCTAAAGATCTAGTGCGAAGCTAAAAGATTAAACTCGGGGGTGGGTGGTATAAGTGCAGTGGAGGAAGAAGCAGGGGGAGGAGGAATAAAACTAAGCCTTTAATTCTGGGTTTGTTGCAGGCTGTCCCATATCGCCCTATGTTACTGAGTCACTTTAATCCTCTGTGCTTTTTCTCGTCGTCTGCTGCGGCAAGCCTTTTAAAATTCCTTCCCTTGTTCTCTTCCATCGCTTCTCTCCTCCGGACCCCACGCCCTGTGCTGTTAGGTCAGGCGACTTTCCTGTGTGACAGATCGGCTTCTTGCCCCAACAGGTGTTTCAGGGTACACGCCCCCTCCTGTGAGGTCACCTCCCCTCCCTATGATTAGCATCATTCATTACAAAGGTATCCAAAGGCATTTTTATTGCATGCTCACCTCCAGCCCTTCTGCTGCCAACACTACCACCTTGTACAGTGTCGGTCTTAGGGGGGGCGAGGTGTATTTAGCTGTACAGGGAGGCTGGGTTGGGTGAGATTTTGCATCCTTTACCAAAGACATGACTTGGTATCCCGACTGCAGGATTGAAAAAAGTGGCTGATATTGTTAGTGGGATCCCCACCCCAGGAGAATGGAGGGGGGAGTCTGTAATCTAGGCAAAAGAGAATCAAGGTTTGGACAAGTTCAATAACAGAGAACTAGGAAGGAAAGGGCAAATTTTGTGTGAGCATTAAAATGTTTCCTTGCACAAGCTCGTCCATTTTAGTATCCCATTATTTTTGATCCTCTGAAATCCACACCCTCTCATTAACTGTGACAAATGTCCTGTGAGACTGATATTATAGTCTGGGAATCTACGCTATCCTATCCTGTTGGGTCACTTTAGTTTCCTGGGTGTTCTGTGTTTGGGGAAGCCTATTTTATTCATCACTGGCAGGCCTTTGAAAAAACAAAAAACACTCCCTGACCCTTTTCTAAATAGAGGCCAATCACCTTTTGCCTAGTCATGTTCTGATAGGCCTGCAGTGAACCTACTTAAGCTATGGGAATTACTGTTCTTCTTCTTATGCTACCTTCTCAATATTGGAGGAACTATTAAAGTGCAATTTGGAAAGCCAGAACACAAAATACAAGCATTATTGGTTCACAAAGAACATGGAAAACTACTCTGAGAACCTCATAAGTTTGAGATGGGTTTTTGTTATAAAGGAATCTGCAGATAACTGAAGGCATGTATAATAAGACCTTTGGTTCTGAATATTGAAATCCAGAATTTTAAAATTCTCATGTTAATTCATTGAATGTTCACAGTCCTCAATCTCCAACCTGGTTGGTCCTTTCATGACATCACAGCAGTTAAGCCACTGGAAGCCAGGGAACTTGTGATGAAGCCTGTCCCCCAAGTCAGGGCCAATTGGCCAGATGTACATTGAGAAGCAGGGTGAACAGAATACTTGGAAGAGGAGGAGACCACAAAGACAGTTTGCCATATTGCTGCATCATCAGCTAATATCATGGGAAACCACTGGGACAGCTAGTTAAATGCAGTGAGCTCACTTGGGGTAATATATTTAAAGAACTTTGAACCCACTCCTTTCCTCCCTCCGACCGGCAACTGAATTTATTCCACCCACTGGAACAGTAGAGTTAAACCCTGGTTTTTTCAGTAAGGTGGGTGGGCTCAAACTTTGGATGGCAGCAGGATTTGTGGATTGAAACACATTTAAAAGTAGCACAACGAGCTGCATATTAGCTATAAAAATCTGAAATGCCTCTGGCATGTATGACTCTGTAAGCTGTGAAATAAGTTTGACAGCACATCTGCGCTGTCCCTGTCTCTTCCAGGACAAGTTCTGCTTCTTTTGTCAGCAAATATCAAACCTGCAGAGGTATAAAAGAAAGGAAGAAGTTCTTCCCCCATCTCTGCTGCTCAGAGCCTGATCTCTGATGCAGGCCAAGCAAAAGAAAAACTATATATAATCAATGAAACAGGAAGCGTTTCCATTGGTTTCCCAAAGGTACAGAGTGAGACATTAAGTACTTACTGGTTGGAAATGGTGGAGAACTCTGTGGCCCTCTCAGGGCAGTTCACAACATCAAAATGCAATATGAAAACCCCATTGGCCATTGGCCATGGTGGAAACTGGAATCCAACAACATCTGGAAGGTCTCAGGTTCACCACACCTGGTATCAAGCTAGGCTTGCCACTTTCCATATAAAGTAACAGGTGGGGAATGCCTTTAAGTGTAGAAAGGATGTGCAGACCAGAGTTTATCTAAAATCTCCCCTGTAGTGCAGCTTTCTTTTTCAGAGTCCATCACTAGACCGCCATTCATCTCCACCCGTTTCTGATCTTGCCTCTGATGCTGGAAAGGAGCTTGGCAGAGGTCAGAGACAATGGACTGTGGGGAAGGCAAGCTGTGGAGAAGGGGAGGGTTCATTCTCCTCCCCAACTAAGTATTTTTTGTTCTTAAAACTGGGCCACCGTGCTCCTGTCCTTTGTATTATCCATGATTGGGGAAGGCTTGAGTTCGACCCAACAGGCCTGCTGTTGTTGTGTGTGGGTTTTTTTTTGGGGGGGATGCATTGTTCTGGGATGAATGGTGGCATTTCCATCCAGAGCAAAACCTGCTGTGGGAAGTGATCGGTTGTCTTCTGCAGATGGTAACACCCCACTCTATTCTCCAAAGGCTCCCTTGCAGGAAGATTCCTCTGCTGACTTTCACGCTAGTTGTTCGGTTCTTAAAAGCAGAGTGTGCATGTCAATGGCAGCAAGCCCTCTGGAGGAGCTGGGAGAGAAAAAGCAGCCCCCTCAGAAGGGAAGGCCATTACAAAAAAACACCCTATCCTTCCAGGAACAAAGAGCCAGGTTTCCAGGGCAGAAGGTGTTCCGGGGCGGTGAGGTGGGGGGTGTATTTTTTTTATTTTATTTTCTTAGTGTGTTTGCGCGCATGTATGTGTCAAGGATCCTTTTCTTCCCTGTTCCTCTTTTCACATGCATTTGATGAATACCAAAACTGAGGGAATTGTTTCCTTGTGAAAGAGCGTGAAAAATCTCATTTGGAGAAGTTTAATGCTTATTAGACCCATCTGCCTCCAGGGCGAATTCTCTTTTTCTTTGGTGCTGAGGCCACAAAAAGAGGAGAAGGAGAGACCTCCGGAATCCAGCACAATAATAATCCGACACAGGCACAGGGCTGAGATGGAGACAGGGGAAATGTTCACACACACACACACCACTCTTCAGTGAGAGGTAATGTGGGCAAAAGATCTCACAACGGTTTAAGTGAATTGTAGTTCCTGAGAAGTAGGCCTCTTCATTTGCCACGAGTCTTTCAAAGCATAACCCTACAGCAGTATTTAGACAAAGATATATGCCATTTATGGGTAGGAAAGTATTGTTTCATTAACTGAGGCTGCAATCCTAGTCCCACTTGACTGAGAGTTGAATTCAGTGGAATTTACTTAGGAGTAGGTATGGGCAGGATTGTGCTATTCATCTCTCTTTAATGATGTGTGTGTGCAAGGAACAATGCATTTACATTGTAATAGATGAGTATCGGAGAGTTGGAGAGGACCTTTTGCAGGAATCTTTTTGCCCAATGTGGGGCTTGAACCCACGGCCCTTAGTTTAAGAGACTCATGCTCTACCGACTGAGCTATCCCACAGGATTCCCTTAATCTGTTTTTAAGGGTTGATAACTTTCTCATACGAGAGAGATGTTGATTCAAGAACTTTCTAGTATTTACTGGTGATAATCAATTATAGTTAGTTGATTTCCTTTATTAACTTGGTTATTCATTAAAGGAAGTTAAATTTTTTTGAAATCATTTAAGGGTGACATATTTTTTAAAAAATGATCCCGATCCCTCCCGTAAAGTGATATTCAGGAAAAATCTGAAGAATAGTCCACATTGGAGTTTACTATAGTGAGATGTTTTATATAATTTGATCAGAAAGTTATAAATTATGAGATTAGCAATTTGTCCAGAAAGGTAATTTTATAATCAATTGATACTTATTGCACATAAGGGGCGGGATTATACAAAGGTTTTGGTCTTACTCAAGAATTGACCTATTATATTGCACCATAATTTAATGAGAAGTATGGTGAAAGGTGTGATCAAAGCACAAACATTTTCTGATTGTTGCCAGTTAACAAATGAGCTCAAGTAGAACTCTGTATCTGAGAACAGAATCTGGCAGGTGGAATACTTAATAGATTAGGAGGTGGTTGTCACTCCAGAAGAAAGCTAGGTATACGAAAGGGGTACGTTAGACTGAATCTAAATATATATATATATAAAAAGATTGTCAGCCCACTCTTGTACTTGACAGTAAACAATCCATATGTTCAATTGGGCTTACTCCTTTGGGGGTGGGCATAGGGGCTGCAGCGTTCCATAACCAGCACCCAATGACAGGAGCTAAAGATGTTCACAAGATAATTGTTCTTGAAGTGAAAATAAATAAAGCATTTGGGCTCAGTGTTCAGGTCCCAAGCAACATGCTTTCACACCTAGGATGTCAGGTGCCAAACGTGAGTCCTGTTAATTTCTCTCACTTGGTCACCACCTACACCCCCACACCCCATGTCATCTGAATATTTCAAGCAACATCAAACTTTGCTTTATATTCCAAACATGGTTGGGTTTTTTTGGTTGGCTGCAAGTCTCCTGGAATTGTAGCAAGCTTGTTTTCTAATGCTTCGGAGGCTAAGACCCAAGCCAACGACTTCAAGTTACAAGAAGGGAGATTCCAACTAAACATCAGGAAGAACTTTCTGATAGTAAAAGGCATGGATCAGTGGATATGAGGTGGCGGACTCTCTTCCAGTGGAAGTTGGATGGCCCTCTGTTGAGATCCCTGCATTGTAGGGGTTGGACCCTCAGAATCCCTTCCAACTCTATAAGCACACTTAAACGTTGTAGCTGTATGCATTCTCTCCCTCCCTTTCTCCCCCTCTCTGGATATTGAGCTTGCCTGCCCGCCCTGTGCTGGGCTTGTGAATGACTCAGCTTTGCAACAATTGTTCACCTTTCCACTTGTCCCCAATTATCCTCTCATTTGATTTGACCTAGTTCAGTTGCATCTTTTTTCTTCCTTTTGGTCTTCCATTTGACACTTCTTGGAACCAAATGAGGTAGCGGTGGTGGTGGGATCAGGGAGAGAGTTTTTTCTCATGATTTCACTATTCCCGACGAATAACTGAACACGGCCATGTTTGGTGAACATTATTGTCTCCAAACAATACAGAAAACAAAAGGCGCTGATGTCATAAAAATGTTTGCCTCTCCCACCTACTGCTGACTTCAATGCAGTATTGTACTAAACTTCAGGGTGCAGGTGATTGGGATGGGTGGGCAAATAAACACTTGGTCGAGCCAAGGATTTTTTGTTTCGTTATCAAAGCGGGAGACAGAGATCCTGTGACTTTGTTCTGTACCAAGACAGTCATTCCATTGTGTCGAATGGCAGCCACCGGTGTCGGCAAGATAAGCCAAGATGTTGCTACTGATGTGGAAAGACTAGATCAAGAAAGATGACCTGCGAATGGAATTTGGCACCACCTTGTAAATAAGCAAACCTATGGGGCATTTGTATTCTCACCTGATCACTCTAAGGATTTAGTCCAGGGTTTCGCAAACTTGGGTCTCCAGCTACTGTTGGACTACAACTCCCATCATCCCTAGCTAGCAGGACCAGTGGCTAGGGATGATGGGAATTGTAGTCCAAAAACATCTGGAGACCCAAGTTTGGGATACCCTGGTTCAGTCCATTCATCTGGGTATGAGGTGGAACCTGCGCATGTGCTCTTAAATTCAGTTTCAGGTGTGGGATTTTGAAACTATACGTGAGCTAGCTCTGAAGCTGAGTTACCTGCTCATCTACGAAGCTCACCAGGTGGCCTTGGGCAAGTCGCCATTGCTCGCTGTGCCTAATCCACTTCACAGGTATGGCTGCCATGTTGCAGCTTGGAGAACGAGTTCTGCCACTCACCATGCTACCTGCTCTAGGGCATTTTTGAGTGTCTCACTTGCTGGGAAGTCAAAGGAAAAAGGTGGGGAGAAGAACCAGGGAGTAAGCACTAGGTAGGAGGTACTTTTGCTGCACTGTCTCCCACTGCAGTTGCAAACTGTAAAAAAGAAGAAGAAGAAGAAGAAGAAGAAGAAGAAGAAGAAGAGGAAGAAGAAAGCTGTTTCTCCAGGTCACAAGCTGGTAACACAGTTAACAGGCCCAGTGTGTGAATGCAAAGGGATAATCCCATGCGTACAACTTTGCACTCTTTGGAGGCATGTAGGGTTCAAACGTAATCAAAATCCACATGGCCATTGCACTTTAAACCTGACTAGGCTCCAGCATACACTGACAAAACAGGGGAGACAATATTGGCTTAGGCAGCAGATGTGGCGGCTTGTTTTCGTACAAACAGCCTTGAAGAGGTGTGTAGAGAGAATACCAGCCTGTCCGCCAACACATACTCTGGGATGCAAGATTGCTCAAGTGTTGGCTATGGCAATCTGCTCACTGTAAAATATTGGTTACTTGGTGACGTTAATGGCAGTGACAAACCAGAATGTGTGCTTCAGGCAAACAACTGGACAGTGCGTACCTTGCCCTGTGAAAGTAGCAGATTGTGTCCCTCAAGCTGTTTGGGGGGGGGGGGATTGTAACACAAGCAAGCCTTTGTGCAAACTTCCCAAAGAGGGACAACCTGTAGGGTTAGGAGGTGGGCCACGCTTTGCTAAAGCTCCCAATTAGCATGCTAATTAACTCCTATTTGGATGGTGGGTTCACTAATGTGGGCATATGATCTACTATTGGGAGCTGGTCTGAAGGTAGTTGCTGATTTCATCCTGTTCACCACTTGGCATTTTTGGGTTACTCTCCTCATTCACTCTTGAATAAATCATGCATCCTGTCACATTTATATCCCACCTTTCTTCCATGCCATCACGCCTGAGGTTGTTTAATTTTTTCCTCCCAGTAACGCTGTGGCTTGCCCAAGGCAACTTCTCAGTTAAGCAGACACTGTAATTTGCTCTACTCGCTATACCACACTGTCTCTAATATACATGTAGTGCACACTAAAAATATAACCTTTCTGGGTGATCAGTTTATTCTTACCTAACTATTAATACCATGAGACTTAGGGATATTCTTAAATGAGAGAATTTAGACAGTCATATGAAATTCTGCAGCGACTTCAGAACAGTCTGGAACTGTAGCTATTAAGGCTAGATAAATCTGTCATGTCCAGCTTCTCATTTTTTCTCTTCATCCATTTCTCATCTTTTCACTTCAGCTTTCTGTTTGTTTGCTTGCTTGCTTGCTTGCTTGCTTGCTTGCTTGCTTTTAAAAAAAGTCCTCATGGAAATTTATAAACATTTTAGTTAGTATTTCCCCCCCCTTATATATACATTTTTGCAAGCAGTTTTCTCTAATGCGTTTCTGTATGCAATTTAACAAACAATTCCCTCTAATACAAATTCCTCTAATACACATTTTTCGGTTGGAAAACTCCTGCCACAACATTCAGAGAAGTTTGGATTTCATAGGTCATGGGTTGCATATTTTTTGGAGCATGTGTAAATTAGGTACCAGTTTTCTTCCCTATCCCCAGCAAGCAGCTATGGTACCCGGGTCATTCATTTACCCTGGCAGCTTTCACCTGGCAGCTTTTAGTTCCTGGGTCCTCCTCTGTGCTGGCCCCTCATGGGCTTCCAGTCCTTTTGGCATCCCAGAATTGATCTCTGTCTCATTCTAAACGATAAAGGACCAAAGCCATAGCATGTCAAAGTAGTATGGATGTTGTCCATGAGTGTTACACAGCAATGTCTGTTTGTTATGTCTTATCAAGGAACATATGGTTTAAGCTTGTCAGCATGCCCCTCTTGGTGAAAGATTTCCAAGCTGCAGTGTAAACAAAACCATGATTCCATGGGTCATGCGGTGTGACTAGCTTGAAAGGCTGGAAATTGCCTCTAAGCCTTTCAAACTACTGCTTATCTGTGCGATTGTGGGTACGATTTTGAAGTTTGCAAGAAGATGGGTTTGCAAAAAGATGGAGTTTGCAAGAAGATGGCTGAAGTCCCATGAGAGAAGACTAAGGGATGGCTAAGATGTTCACACATGCTTTTGAAGATACTTCTCTTAACAAGGTGCAAAAATACCACTGTGTGGGTAAAGTGAGGCAATGCAAATACTTTTCCTCTTCTTGGTCATCAGAAGCAAAAGCGAGCAGCAGCAATGCAGCCAAGTTCGGAGGCAAGCAGCAAAATCCCAAGAATGGAGGCAAAAGAGGCTGTTTACCTGGCCGTGCCACAATTTAAGCTGTCGTAGCCACGCTCCCTGCAAACCCGATTGGCCGGCCAGGGGGCGTGACGCAGCTGGGGTTCCTGCTGCAATACTCTGCCCACTTCAGGGTTGCTGCAAGGACCTGGACTCCTGCCCACAAAGGGGGAACTGACTTGTAGCCTTAAGTTGATGCTGTGACATGATACTCTAGTCTAACAGGACCACAGAGCTCTTTTTTTGCCACTCAGCCGCTGAATCAATTGACCAATACATTTCAGGTTCAAATACGATTTTAGAAAATGATTGTCAGCAGTGAAGTCCGCCTCACAGCAGCAGACCTAAGCTTAACCTAATTCTGCATTTCAACCATCTTATCTTGAGCCATATCCCTGCAGTTTAGGGCCTCCCAGAATATGATGAAGAATATAGTATTTTAAAGCTGCCCTGGTAGCTAATCATAACGCTGAATGCCCAAGAAAGTCTCAACAGCAGGACTTGGAACAGAGGACTTTCATTTGACCTACAAATAAAATAAATATATTTAATTCAGATGGGGTACCCTGGATTTGGATCTAGATGTGATTTTTAGACTTGGTTGGATAAGAGACTTGGAACTGCTGCCCTGCTTTAGCCACAGTTCCCTTCCCTAAGCTCACTTTCAATCTTCTCTTTCCTGTTTCTGTTTCCTGGGTTACAACTGATTGGTTGGTTGCATCTATATCCCACTTTTCACTGGATCCCCACAACAACCCTGTGATGTAGGCTAGGCTCAGAGGCAGCGACTAGCCCAAGGTTACCCAGGGAGTTTAATGGTCAAGTGGGAATTTGAACCATGGTCTCCCAGGTCTTGGTCCGACTCTCGAACCACTACATCTGGGAAGGAGCAGATCACTGGGAAGTGGGTTGGATATGCTTGTTTTTGGGTTTGGTCCTTTATTGTGGCCTTATGCAAGTTTTGTTGATTTTCATATGTATATCATGAATTGCTTTGGGGAATATTTGTTTAGTCTCCCCTCTCTCCAACTGCCAGATACAGTTTAGCTTAATTGACTATTTGCACCTCACTTTCGCATGTCAGCTGGCTCTCACCTGGCTGCTTCTATTTTGTAGTAAAAACATTCATGTTTGTGTGTCCAGATTAGGGTCCCGTACTGTTTTTTGTTGCTTGATTCTGAAAGTGCCCCTTTAAGGGTGAGTAGAATATGGGGCAGTTTTCAGCAGTAAACCAGCATTGGGCATTAAATTGCATTAGGCCGCTTTTTCACCAAAATAAAAGTAGCCAGGTTAAGCGTGTTTGTTTAAATGCTTTTAACCCAGCCTTCATCACACCCTGCTCCCGCGAGCTGGCTTGGCTGTGCTGCAGATACAACCACAGATGCTTGGGAATAGGCAGGATAGCTTAACGCCACCTGCTGTGGTCATAACTTACCGTACAGTGCTGGGCTGGCCATCCTGTCATTCCAGTGCTGGGCACTGATGATTTTTCCATGCCAGTGTTTCCTGCCTGTCAACCAGAAGTACTACCAATAGCATGAGCACAGAATGTCTCCACGCCAGATACCAGGATGGGCCAATGGCCAACGCTACATGTTACAGCTGCAGTGGGGAGAAGCCTGGAATGGCATGGAGGTTGTTGCTAACTTCACTCTGCGTAACATCTGAGTGATGATGCAGCAGTGGTGTAATTGTACAGCTTAAGGATATGCCTACTGTAATATAGGCTGTTGTTTAGTTCTACGAAAATTCTGCACGTCAAAGCTCTCTGGAGGCTTCTTGGCTTTGAATTCTTCTGTTTTATTTATTTTAAAATATTTATAAAACACATTATAAAACAGCAGAGTGGTGCACAGAAAAAAAGTATAAAATATATGAGTATAAAAAAAAATATTAACAGTAGTGGCGCCCACCCTGTGGAATGATCTCCCATTAGATGTTAAGCAGATGAGTCATTATATAACGTTTAGGAAACATCTGAAGGCAGCCCAGTATAGGGAAGCTTTTAAAAGGTTTAATGTTTTACTATGTTCTTATATATGCTGGAAGCCGCCCAGAGTGATTGGGGCAATCCAGTCAGATGGGTGGGGTACAAATAAATTATTATTATTATTATTATTATTACACCAGCAATAATACAATTAAAGTAACAGGGCAACACCAGAATATGACCAGCAGGCAGTAATTAAAATAATTCAGTCAAAAAGGCTTTAGAGAAATTTAAAAAGAAGCCTTGGAGTTTTACCCAGTGCTGCATGAGCAGAGTATGTGCAACAGGACGTCTTCCTTTTGTCTTCCCAAGAGTTCTCAAAATCAGCTCTTTGGATCAGATTTTGAGGGTGCAAGGGGAGCTGCAGAAGTAAGGAGGGGGAAATTCCATTGCGCAAGTGGGAGTCTGCTGCACGAGTGGAACAGCAGCGCTAGATACAGGCCTTAATCGTGCATATGAAAGCAGAGATTGTTGCAGCGACTGCACTCTGAGCAGTTGCTTCTTCCACTTTGTGAGTCTGTAAATAAATGAAAACCTACACTGCTGTATATCTTGAATGTCCAAATATTGCAAATAGCAGTCTTTATCCTTGTATCGCTATATAACTTCTACAGGTTCGGGAGATTGATCTGTGTCCTAGATTGGTATTGGTCAGGGCCTTTTATTCCCCGCCCCCAAGAACTACAAGTACACATACATTTTTTTTAAAGTAATATATTAGCGAACTTGTAAATAGCTGGAGTTCAGTGTTCAGGGCAGATGTTGGCCTGTCAGGTATTTCATCTGGTATTCACTTAGCCTGTCCTTGTTTCTGTATATACAAATGACATATTGGGTCTGTTTTCATTAGTATTTATG